AGATAGTACCGCGAAGACGCCTGAATCCTGGGTGCCGTCTCCTTATTGTCTTTTTTTCCCGCCTGCCGAATGTCTCTGCAGCTCCTCGTTCCCTCTGCGCACTCTCCCGTATGATCTCGGGTAGCTGCGGGGTACGACTCAAAGACGGCCCCCGGTCCGTCTCGGCCCTCTTGTGCCTTCCACAATGGACTCGCCAGCTCGGTGTTCATCCGTTCCGATCTCTGTGAGGTCGGATACGGGCTACGCTGATATCCTGTGAGTTGGGGCGGAGAGACAGGGGGGGTTTGTTGGGTCTGGGACCGGCAGGGCGCGTTCCGAGCCCTCCCCCTGTTCAGGCTCTGATGGACCCTCTTCGCACCGGCGGAGCTGTTCTGGCGCCTGCCAGTCCAACTCAGCTGCCAAGGTGGATAGCAGTCTCAATCACCTTCCATCTCCTCCCACAGAGAGGAGTCCACAAGTCCCGTGCACACGTTCCATTGACAGGTAGAGTGTTCAACTGAAGGGCCAAAAACCAATCCTGATCACTATGAATGAAGATGTATAGATTTTAATTATTGATTCCTTATGGTTCCTCTTGTCACATTATCTTTCTTGATTTCATTTATCATTCCTGATGAATTGTGCGTGTGTCGAAGGTAGGAACCTATTGGCTCAAGACAAACTTTATTTTCACTCACTTCTCGAAATGATTTATTAGGTTGTTTTGGATTGGAATTAATACGATTTTATCTACAAATGCTTTATTGTTCCTGTATATATGGAATCTGATTATTTCGTTTTTTTTTTTTTTTTTTTTTTTTTCGATTCATTTGATTCATGTGATTGGTGGCAAAAGAGAATAATTTAAACGATCCCTGACTTTATTTAGTTCCTACACGTCCTCAATACATTAAAACTAATTAAGGGTTTTACTACCACATTACATTGTTGCCGATCTTGTTTGTGTTCTGCTTTTTTTGCAAGGTGTTCACCCCAGTCTTTGTCTCTGTCTGCTTCCCTGTTCGTGCTTGTTTGCTCCCTCCTTGTCTGATTACTTATGCTCTTCACCTTGGGGTTTTTTTTTTTTTTTTTTTTTTTTTTTTTTTTTTTTTTTTTTTTTTTTGTTTTTTTTTTTTTTTTTTTTTTTTTTTTTTTGTCCTTTTTTTTTTTTTTTTCTGTTTTCCTGTCCTGCCGCTGGGTCTTGTTCCCCTGATTGCTTTTGAATGCTATTCGTTTCTGGTTTTCTGTTGGTGGCAGTGGGATTCTTTGAGTTTTCCCAAGGGAGTGATTGCTTGAATGAAGGGATTTTCAGTTTGAAACATTTTGTCTGTCCGGCCCACTTTGGTCCAATCCTGCTCTGCTCCCGTTGCAGTTGATTCCACTTTAAGAGATCTGATTCTTATATTTGTACTTTATTGATCTTTGATAAAGTGAAAAGAGAACACTACATGCCGTGTGTAAATCGAGAAGATTTCACACGGCATCTCGTGCACGTCTGTCCGTCCTGCGGAGAGGGATCCCTTCCTCTGTGCTCTCCCTGAGGTTTTCTTCCCATTTTCCCTTTAAACTGCTGGGTTTTCCTCGGAAGTTTTTCCCGCTTGTTACGATGTGAGGGTCTAAGGACAAGGGGTTCGTATGTTCATACTGAGTATTCTGTACAAACTGTGAAGTCCACTGAGACAAATTGTAACATTTGTGATATTGGGCTATATAATAACATTGTTGATGAGAATACTTACCACAGAGATTGCCGTATGAAAGAATCAATGCGATTTTGGAAAATTGCACAATTTAAATCTCTTTTAGTAGACCTCAACAATGGCATTATGATCAGTATAAATGGCCATGACATGGGACCTTTAAAGTATTATCTTATCTGATTCTTTATCAATTCTTAGTATATATTTCATTAATGTATAACTTAAAACAGGAAAAAGAGAACATATTGTACTGTAGACAAACTCTTTTATTAGTCCTTTCTTTTTGCTGCAAATACTAAAATCCTTTATTCCACATAGCAGCAGCTTCCTAAAAATGGCTACAGCTACACATTGACACCTACCTGCTGCCTGGACAGACCGTTAGCTTTAACAGAACTCTCGACACACTGGTCTTTGGTGTGATCGTCAGAGCTCAGTCTCTTAAGCAGACCTCTGGGTTTTGGATGCTGCCACCTCGCCTCCCAGGAGCCTTCCTGTCCGTCTGCGGATGTGCAAACAGATCAATTAATACCAGGAGGGATCGCAGCAGAGGCCAAACAGTGATGTGGGGATACAGATGATGAAAAGCACCTTGAAAGGTTGACACTGATTCTATGGAGAGCACGCGTCGGCCAACAGAAGACAGTTTCCGGCACACAGCTGCAGAGGAGGTATGAGGCAGCCTTGCTTCAGCCAGACAGAGGATGTCCTGTGGGAGTATTAACTTGCACGTTTGTAATATTTAAAAAATAAAAACAACAGCATTATATGCAAATGTTCCATATTTGGACAGATGTATTTTTTTTTGTTATTCTTATTTTTAAGTAATTGTTACTTAAATGTTCTCACTGTAACTGTGACGGAGTGATTTGCACTGACACAGCATTCCCACTCGATGCTGCTAAAGAGCGCTGACTCACTGAACACAGTGCCAATGAGATCACTTAATAGTCATGAGAGAAAAGTAGAATTAAATCAAAGCTAAAGACATCATTGTGTTTAATGTGTATATTACAGCCTTTAATATGTGTACGCAAGAGCATTTCACACATATATACGTGAGCGTTTCACATATCTGTCACATAATTACCTACCAGGGCTGAGCACACCCTCTTGCTCATGATGACCCGCTCAGGTGGATCATTTTTGCCCATGTTAGTTTTTTTTAAGGTATTTTGGAAGTCCTTTGTGGTTGTAATAAAGTGTATTGTTACTATTTACAAAAAAAAGATTGAACCAAAGCTGCAATAACCACTAATACTTACATTTCAATTGGCTTCATTTTAAACCTTATTCTCTAATTTATCATCCACTTAAATTGCATCTTGACCTTGATCATGGTCACATTTGTTACGTAGCACATTCAAAACAATAACAGCTGACCAAATTAATTTAAAATAATTTACTTTTCATACAATAATTGCGGCTCAACAAAAGCTAAAGTCAAGGTTCGAAGCCCAATTCACATGGCAATAAAAAGGGAAAATCAGTGTCTAGGCAGATTTAAATGAATAGATCAGCTAGTCCAAGGATTGTGGGCAGCCTTCACAAAGGAACCATCCCTTTTTTTTTTGCATATGGATTTTGGAACATCCACAAGCAGCTGGTTCGTCGACCTCTAATGGATGTATGCAAGAGTTCTGCTAAGGTGGATCATCCAGCCCAAATCTTTATTCACAAGCGATATCTTAATCAAGCCTGAAACCGACAGGAAGCCAGTGGAAGGAGGCCAATACCGGCATTATGTGATCACACTTTCCTTTCCCAGTTGGAATATGTTATAACTGCAGATAACAAAGACACGACTGTTCTCCACCCACATACAAAGAATTACAGTATTCTGACTGAGAGGTAATAAAAGTATCTCTTAAAATACTTTAGAGGTGATAGCCCTTTACTTGGTTAAATCTCTTAAAGTGGCAATATATTTAACTTAAATCATTATAAAGTATATGGCTGTAGTAACATTGCGCAGTTTGATTGGAAACAGAAGGTAGTTCAAATTCGAAAACAGAAAGCGTCCTGACAGCGACACCAACCACTATCCCAATTTGAAATGCTCGGGTGTTGAAGAGCTTCCCGTTTCTGCTTTAACTGAGAAAAGCTACCTCTGATAACTGAACTAAGCGTGTTTAAGATAAGGACCTGTAAAAGAAAAAGATTCTTAACAAAAGGCCGTTTGTGAGAAGCCAACAGTACAACTAAACACTTGTTATATTTCATAAAATTCATTCCTCTTTTTCTTGTTACCATGACAACCAAATAGTTCAAGAGGGATCTCTGGTTATTCCACACCTTTCTATAAATCATTATGGCAGTTAAGAACAGTCAGCAGGGTTTTTTATACCTGCAGGAGAGGCCTGTCCTCCGGCTTCTCCTGCTGCATCTGCTCCAGCAGCCTCTGAATCTCTTCCCCCAGCTCCGCCTCCAGCTCTGGCTCGATGACAAAGTTCAGAGCGGCAGTGAGCGTGGAGCCCAGAGAGTAAACATGGCCCTGCAGCCGGGGATATAGAGGAGAAAACACAGTCAGGTACAGAGATCTGAATCCATACAGAGGCTTGGAAAACACAGGGTCTTACCATCCTGGGTAGTAATTGTCATGACAGAGCTTTTGTTTTGTTTTGCAGCAAAGCCTTTGCTACAACCACAGGGGATATTATAGTCTGCTCTGAGGCAGCAGCGGATTTGAACCAGGTGCTTCTGAGTTCACATAACCATCACTCCCTACATTTGAAGTGGACTGCACCCATACGTATGTGGCAAACTCATTTGCAAGGCGGATCCCAGTGTGTGTCACCGAAATAGAAGAGTAAACACTCAGCTGAAGGCCTAAACCTCTGTTTTGCTTTCGCCACGCCAATCCGTTATACCTCCCTTGGGAAAAACACATTTCAGAAAAACATGGGAAGAAGAAGAGGGTTTTTGTTTTTTAGAAGTATTGAGGATTTGGACAGAAAGCTGAATTTTTAATTAAACTTTTGTTTTGAAATCCGGCGACGTAAACTCACTTCAGATATATTTACATTTTGGATTTATTTATTTGTATGGTACATTTCTACAATCATAATCATTTCTACAATCATAATAATCTATAATCATGTCCCATTATTGTAAGCAGAAAGACTGCATTCAAGACTAAAATAACAGCAGTATTTAAAAAATGAATGTAAAGGTTAAATACACAGACTTTCACAGGCACATACACAATTATTACTGCATGTTTTTTTATTTTTAAATATAGCAATTGAAGGAGTCCTGCATGTCTGCTTGTTAAATACATTAAGTTGATGTTATTGTACTTTTCGGGTTGTATCCATATGGTTTAATGTATAGTTAGTAATTTGTTTAAAAGCATCAAGTAAATGAATTCAAACCGGAGAGACGTGATGTATGGAATACATATTTATTGTTACACGTCATATAGATGGAATAATTGCCATGATAATCTCGTGACTATTTGCGCAGATGGAGCGGTATGTGTCTGCGTTGTGGCTCGAATGTCACTCTTTTTCTCTCTTTTCTTTTTGTTTTGACTAACCTCAAAGGGGGTGATTGATGCTGGGGCGATTGATTAGAGGAGGGACAGAAGTACCACCAATTGAACGGCGCCCATGAATACGTGATTTTTTTTTTTCTCCTGACCGCTCGTTTCGCTATCGTTCGATCGTTTTTATTGACCGCTGGGTGCGGTACGGGGGGTTTGGCTTTCAAAGTCGGTGAAAAGTGCGTGTTGTAATGTGCGGGCGTGTGCCAGGCGTTCCCTTGCAGCGATTGGTGGATAGTCCTCTTTTGGGGTGTGTTTATTGTTTGATTGTGTGCTGCGTGGGTCGAAAGAATTGGCCAAACCTGTATCCCTTTTTCGCACTCTGTGTCTCCGGTCTGCTCGGGGTGTCGACAGTGCCGAACCGAGAGTCGTTATTGTTTTGCGTCGCTACTCGCGCTGCACTCATACCTTTTCTTCTCCTCAATAAGGTGCGAGGGGTTTTGTTGGCTGGTGGTTTGTCCCAATTGTTCGAGATACGTCCTCTATGCCGACAAGCGCCCGACGAGGCAAGAGGATGCAAGGGGGCCGTCCTCTCTTCGGTGACGTCGGATGAATCTAGGAAAATCTCCGCAGACTAGTCTAACCCTCGTGGACCTCTTCCGACGTGGACCTTGTTAGGTCCCTCTTCTCTTCGTGTGTGTGGGTGTGTCGTCCGTGTGGGTGTGGTTCTGTATCCGTCACTTCGTCCCCAGCAGTGGTGGCAAGTTGTTTCCTATGGGTTTTAGATTTAAACCTACACAAGAAAAGAAACATTCTAGGGGTAAAAGTAATTTTCACACCAGAATGCAACTGAACTTTCTAATTCAGGTACGAGGAAGACCTGTTGTTAGAGATAATCAAAAAACATTTAGGAGGAATAGCAAGGACATCAAAAGTTTTCAGATCCAACAACGCAACACGTGAGGTTGGTCAAAAAACACCCACTGTGTAAGGACTCCACTCCGTCACGAGAGACACGAGTGGTAGTGGGTGTCATTGACTGAACTTCGGCGCGGAGTCCGTTTATTCACGGCGCGATTATAATCACGGGCGACGAGGGCGTTCATGACACCCGAATGCTCGTCCGTTTCGAGCAGGGACCGCGTGACACAGAGTACGCATGGGCGGCATCAACATCGCCTCGAGCGTTTAAAACGACTAAAACTGAAATTTTCGCTAACCTTAGTATGTATTTGTGTTTAATGTAGTATCTAGTCACCTCTGTAAAATAATAATGACTAAATCGAAAAGAAAGGATCAACAAAACATGCAATGTAAACTCATCACTTCCACTCCCGAGACGGAGGGGACTGACGTGCAGCGACCATTTGTACGTATATTGACCACCACCACAGAATTATCGTAAAAGTCCGCGAAGTAAGTCTCTATCCACATCGTTTGGGACGGCGGTTGAGTTCCATGAGGGAGGAGAAGGGATGTTGTTGGACCTGCCGCCAGGAGGGGGACCGGAAGTGTAGGATGCTGTGAGCCCGGCCTGTAGTCGCGGCATGGCCGAAGGGTTCTAGAGAGGTCTGGATTGGATCACTGGGGGGCAAGGCCTTGGAGGCGGGCCTTCGGTCGAGCGTTTGCGGTCTGCCGCCAGGTAGGAGGCGGAAGTGTTGGACTGTGAGCGCGGCCGTGTAGTCGCGGCACGACCGGGTAGGCTTGCTAGAGATCTGGGATTGATGCCATAAATGCGTATTTGACCACCACCAGCAGTATTGTGCAACACGTCGTCGTATGTGACAAGGACGTCATACCACATAGCCAAGTTTGACGTAGGGACGGATGCAGGCGCCCCGAGGGCGGGGGTGTCCACTTATTACAGAGCAGAGTGAAAAGTAGACTGTGCAGCTGGCCCGATCTGCAAGAAGACCGTGCGTCCAATTTAGAATAGGCGTCGGACACGACGTGTTACACAGACACAAAAATTTTTTACGGTATGGGACCTTGCCGGTCCAGTATCTCTCTTCTCTCCTTTTCTTTTCTCTCTATCCTTTCCTTTCTCGCTCATTCTCTCTTCTTCTTCCGCTGCGCCACAGGGTATCTGAAGCCAGAGACACCGTGGACGCCCAAGGGCATCTAAGCCAGAGCACCGGATCACCCGGTGGCATTTGACAGCCAAAGGCAGTATTTGTTCTAGGACGAAGCGTCCTGAACTCCAAAGCACCGCCGCATCCAGTTCCGGAAACGATCAGGTCCGTCCGCTGGAGTCGCAGCAAAAGTCTGATTCTGGCCGGTGACTAAAAGCCGTCAGTCTCAGAGGTCGTCCTACTGGGCATTCGAGGCCGTCACTAAGGCCGGGGACGGCGTATGTATATACATTATGATAATAAAAGGGGTGTCTAGTGGTGTCGGGTGGGATGTGTCCATTGCTTTGAGTCAAATAGAGTCATAAGATATGAGTGACCGAAACCCCTAAAAGTAGCTCGCCAAGGAAAGGGAGTGCCGGCTTACTAATTTAGGACGTTTGCCCCGGATTTAGCGGTCTTGTGGTAAGGTACAGAGGACAGACATACATAGTAGCCGTAATAAAGGTAGAGTATACTGCCCGACATTGTTATTGTATACATTACGGTATGTGTGCAGAGAGGCCAAACTTTACTTTAGAAATCGCGTTTCAAGTTCATTCCTTCTGGATTGGTACCTCAGTGAATGTGCAGTGACGATAACGAGAGGCCGCGGGGGCAGTAATTTGTAACACCCGCAGTGGTGAGAGTCGTGGTAACCCCGACGTGTGTGCAATTTAGGGAATTTACGGCGAGAAAGGAAGGCACAGTCGAACAGGTAAAGTTCCACTGTGTGCGTTGGAGGAGGTGGGGAGAGCGAGGCACGAGGAGGGTCCTGTGTTCGGATTGGGAAGGAGTGAGCGTCTGGTAGGGTGGATGAATAGTGGTGGTGGGTGGTCACAGATCTGGGCCCCTTAAAGTACGCCTCGCCAAAGAAAGGGAGGGCTTACTAATAGGACGCGTTTGGCCCCGGATTAGCGGTTTGTGGTAAGGTAATANTGTCAGGAATACATTCACTGTGGACCACACAGACTACATCACAAGTGACACCTCTCAGGAAGATTATTTTACACAGCAAGATCTGATACCTGTCAGTATAATAATAATGATAATAATAATAATAATAATACATTATATTTTTATAGGGCTTTTCAAGGACTCAAAATTGCTTTACAATATAAGTGAAGGTTAGGGTGGGGGTGTAGGACTATCAACCGGCATGGATTGACGGGGAGTGGGCTATGAGTAGAGAAGAGGAGAAGAGATGAGCTTTGAAAAGGGACTGGAAAACAGTGAGGGTCTCAGAATAGCGGAGATCTTTGCATCAATATGTTCAAAACGTTTTTTTTGAAAATGTAAAAAAAATGTCGAAAAATTAAATATAAAATATTTCTTGTGAACCAAAATAAAATATATTATATAAGTGATTTTTCTTTACCAAAATGACAAAAATGGCATAATAACACATATTATTCTAATACGGGTCCTTTTTGACCCACTTATGGAAGAGTGTAGGGCCCAGTCACTCGTGCATCTAAGGGTTAAAAGACTAAATGACATTTACTCAGCTCTGCATATCTGTGATCGTCAGTTACATTACAAAAGAGCTATTTTCATCAATTTACTTTGAAAAAGTGGCTCTATTAAGCGACTGTGGCTGTCAAATTCATATTTCACGGGAGGAAAAACGGCAAGTAAACACGTTTTCAGCTAATAAGCACTACACCTACATTTGACAAACTCATTGTGAGGTTAATCATTGATTTAATGAATTATCTATATATTATCTCTGCGCTCTAAAAGCATCGATAGACATTTGAGTAGTCTCAGTGGACTTTGCTTTACTTACTTGCAATCATTATGTTTCTGCCACCGGTGATTTCCAAGGTTTTCTGGAGGACCCTGTTTAATGAGAATGTCCCTGTCTGTGCAATCAGTGCAATTATGAATGCGTTTTTTTGCTAATCATTTAGTCAAACTGTGAAGATGTCCTTATACTGTGAAGGACGCTGGGATCTGTTATTATAGGACTGTATAGAACGATGTGTCGCTGTGCTTTCCTTCACATTTCCTGTCAGTAAAATCAAGGTGACGGTGGTGAAATGTGAACATGTTTTCATCTACAATTTATTATTATTTATTTACATTTCTCTGAGATTTCAAGCGGCAATGTTGTCCTTTACTTGCACTGTTAAACTTTGACAGTAGGCCTTACATAGGTGAGCAATGTGTGATTCTATAGTTAATGAAGTAGAATTAGTCATCCACACAATAGTCTAGTAAACTGGATTGCATTAAATGAGGGGTCGAAAGGTAAACACTATCTTTTGTATTTTTACATGATTGTTAAAACTCAAATCCACATCATTACTCTCTGACTGAACAAAAGATGAGAACATCAGGGGTCAGATGGTGTTAGACACTCACACAAGTTAGGAGATGTTGTGCTGTTGGTCTAGATTCAGCTGGGTTGAAACCTGGGGAGAACAGGCAGCTGATCCAGTGCATGCTCCTGATAACAAAGACAAATGGCAAGCCGTGGCGCCAATGGAGTCGCAGACTACCGTCCAATGATCAGTGGGCATTTGAGATACTCTCCGAGAGACTGCAGGGACTGACACAAATCCTTTCAATCAACCGTGCAATCAAGTGATAACGATGAAATCACTTTCTCTGGGACGTTATCATTGTGGGACCAGTTCATCCATCTTATGCTCATTCCAACGTCTGCTGGTGGTTTTGTGGGCGCACAAACGCGCGTGTGGCCCCACTCCAAGCCTCACAGGCAGCTTTTATGGCTTTCTGGGAAACAATGCAAGGCATGCCGAATGAAAGCTCACTGTGGTTTAAAGTGGTTTAAACACAGCATGATCGCTCTGAAGCTCTAAGCCTGCAAAACACAACCTACATTTGAAACGTTCAAAAAGTGCTTCATTTGTAATGAGCAACAGATACAATGAGGGTCTTGGAGTCTTCAAGAAATGTTCTTTCAGACTATAATAATCTATAAAAAGGAAACTGAAATGTTATTAGATCAACAATTGATGATGCAATACATGCTAGATCGCGGTATAAATATACTGTATTAGCAAAAGCAATATGGCAAAGAAAATGCACTTTAATGAAAACAGTTTTTAAATGACATACAGCCTTGGCACCCTTGGATACAAATATTACAATATGATTTGATCTGATACAATATAACGAAAATATTTGTAATTGATTTGAAGTTTTTGTGAGGAATAAAAGAGGATAGACCATAAGATGAAACACATCCTTAGAGAGAACACTTTTTCTTCGAAGCCCTTTAAAAAAACTATAGTAGTTTGTTCCATGTTAAATCCATATAGGTGGGAAGCAAACCTGTGTTTCAGGTCTGCGTTACAATACAAATATCTTATGCCTTGTTGTTGTAAATACATTTGTAAAATAAGCTTTGGTATTTAGCACTGCATTCTGATTCCGTGCCAACAAGACAGCTGCACTTATAGCCAGTGTTGCTATGACCACAGCCTTGCTGGTGCACAGGTAGCGGAGTTTGGACGTTGGTGTTTGCTTGGCTCCACCTTCAGCAGAGTGTTTGTTCTGCACAGCTGCCTGCTCCTCCTGAGTCAGGCTCGTCGGGAAGAGCTCAGCCAGAACCTCCAGAGCTGCCCGTTGACCCGCCTGCACCGCCCCGCTCATGTAGCCGCACCACAGGGTGGCCGTCTCCGTGCCTGCCCAGTGGATCCTGGAGACCAATACAAATGAGAGATTTACTAAACACATGGCTTTGTCTTGCTGTTTGAAAAGGCTTTGGTTGTATTCTCTATTGGAGTGTTCACTTCCCTTTTTAGCACATTTATACAATATTTGAAGCCATTTACATGACCAGTTACCAGTGTTCACATATGAAGCTTTTTTTTAGTAACTGTTTTTACCCTTTTCTGTTCGTCTAGATGCTCCATGTCTTTGTTCACAAAACTCTGATATAACAAGCTCGCTAGAAAAAGCAGAAAAGCCACAATGCTTCTGTTCACATGTATTCTGCGGTATGTCATGACATTGAATTCAAGGATGTCTTTAGAAACCTAATACATCTCTGCCCATGGTAACAGCATTTGTCGTCAGTCCACAGGGCTTTGTTCTTGGCAAGAAGCTGCAATTCTGAGTTTGATTGTTTAACAGACAGAAGAAAAAGGGATAGGAGTTGAAGCTTCGGAGGGAGAATATGGGAGTGGATGTTGCTGCTGCCAACTGCCAGCCCCCCCAGAAGGTTCAAGACAATGGCTGAAAAACTGAAGATGATGAATTAGTTCACACCAGTCACATTGTGAAAACACATCACTACCATCTAAGGGCAGCTTAGCAGCATGGTACCCACTTCAATGGCCACAGAGGCAAGAGGTAAGAGGTGGGCCGATCTTCTGGCTCGTTTCTATGACCCATAACTTATTGGTGAGGTGGAGCCGAGTCACAGCGCCACATGAATAATGCCTTTCAACGTTATCCTCCCTTGGGCGGCTACTCTACCTTTTAACGGACAGAGAAGCAGAACAAAAGGCGAATATGAGAGAGTCAAAGCTTCTGCGCCTTATCCGACCACTCTACAGCCTCTGATGGATATGATCATATGTAATGGCATGGTCTTATGGAGCCGAGGGGCACTTTGAACGTGTCATTTCATGTGAGAGAAAAGGGGTCGCTAACAGCCTCTAAAGAAAGAAAGGGGGTTCGAGTATTCTACCGTGCGTGCTGGCTCCCCTGTGAGCCCCTGCGACTTACGATTACTCATGACTGCTGTGTTGAGTGTAATCACACAGTATGTGGTACATGTGTCCCGGGAGATCCATAATCCTCGCCTTACTATAGGAAGCTAAACGAACACGGCTACCTACTGTAAGCGTCAGGTTCAAAGCAACTATTTCTATATTCCACTAAAGCTGCCTTTACATCATCTGTGACTTGACCCTCTGTGCTTCACTTCAATGTTCAAATGATGTAAACTGGGACCCCGAAGGCACTGTCCTTTCAAAGCGCAACGACCGAGATAGATATGTTGTAAGAAGCGAAAAGGGAAAGCAGGCAAGGTAACCATGGAAACAAAGCTAACTAGCTGTCTTCACAGCAAGGCTCTGCGCCCTACGTTGCAGTGAGCAAAAATCTAATCTCTTTTTTAATGTGAGGGAAACCAAAGCTCCATGATGTTCCACTCACTTATCATCCGAGGGATAGTATACAGTATATCCAGGGAGCAGCTGAGGCTCAGAGCCATTGTCCAGTCTGTGTTTCGATCCCCAGCCTCCACTGCCCACTGCCCACTGCCCATTTTTACTATCTATACTTGATGTCAGGGTGAACAGTGTATGAACGAGTGTCAATGGGAGAAGGCCGACTTGTGTAGACGCGCTTTGAATGGTTGCAAAGAACAGAAAAGCACTTTATAAATGCAGTCAATGTACATGTGGATTACAGCTCATGTACTCACTAACCCATCACCCTTACTTCAAGGCTCCTCTGTTATACCAACCCCCCCCACCCCCCCCACCACCCCTGACCATCCATCAGAGGAAGGGCTCTCCCTTAACACCTTTAATCTGGCCAGCATCCTTGATGATTAATTTATGTTATCTGAACAGCAGATTCCTCAGCAGCAAACAAGTTTCCCCGAGTACCGAGTTCACACACTTCTCTCATGCTGTAAGGCGGGATATGACAGCGGATTTCACAAAGGGACCCCTTACTATTCAGTAAGGGTCCTAACAAGAAATGGATGAGCGCTCAGAAGTGCAGAGTTGTGCCAAAGCTGCGATGACAAATGCTCTGACAAATGCAGTCAATGTATGTTGAGTGGACAGAGCAGTCTGAGAAAGGATGCCACTTGAGACTTCATCAGCAGAATATCCCAGAAGATGACCCCAGACTGAAAGGCCTTTTAGTAACATGTCAACAAGCTCTGAGTTTCCTTCCGATCCACTGAGGGTCTTAAGCCTGATTGATCTCCTCAAAATGAAACTTTAAAAAAGTAGAGATTGTTAAAGTTGCCTGATGTTAGTAGGATCTGTATTCAACACATGTATGGTGCCATACTTACACAGCAGCTAAGAGAGACCCAATATTTACTTAGATATAAAGTATGAAATCAAAACAACAGGCAGGAGTGATGCAGGGAGAAATCAATCAACCCAAACATTACAGCAACCCGCATATCAGGAGGCAGGATGATGAGCAGCAGCGTTATACTGAGAGGAGGGAGAGATTACCAGATTCAACAAGGCTGCTCTAGGAACTGCAATGCAATATGATTTCCAAACAAGCAAACCGGAAATGTCAAAATGCTAACCCATTCCCAAGTGTTAGGACTCATTCCTGCACCACTCTTAAAAGTGAAACGGCTTTAGTTCTCTGTCAAAATACTGTTTGTTTTAATACGTTGCTTTGGCACATGAATATGTTGCTCTCCACTTTGGAGGATATCCAAAAACTGCACAAATAAAAGGATTAATCCCTTCTCTAAAACGGGTGAATAAAGATAAAACAATCCCTCTGAGGTCCTCGAATATCATTTTGACCTCCGCTGTACTGTATACAAACAGTTCTGCTGTGTTCAATTTAATCTCATTTCCCAGTGGGCTGAGTCAGATATTATAAAAGCAGATGGACACAATGCATTTAGAAGGAAACCGCTGCATGTTGTCACCTTAAGTGCAAATAAAGACTGTAGGAAGATGAAAGCTTTCTTTCTTTTCTGTCATAAACCTTCTCAAGCATTTGATCACAGTGAGTGAAGCGTTGTCTGGAATAACCTGCCCTTTTCTTGGCTGTACTGTATCTGGAAATACAAAGCTTTGTGTAAACTGCCTGACTGACTGGAATTGTAGTTGCTTAAATCTGCAAACAAAGCCCAGTATACCTAATGGATGACTTCATTACACATACTGTAATAGGGCCTAGGGCTGCTCGATTATGGCAAAAAGAATAATCACGATTATTTTTGTCAATAATTGATATCACGATTATTAAATACGTTTATTCATTGACTTTGAAAACATCCATTTATTGAACTTTAAAACAAATAGTAATTTGAACAGTATATTTTTAACTGTTGATTACCCTGAACGTATAATTCAACTGAAAAACCAATGCAAAAATACATTAAATAAATAATATCAAAATAATAAATACCAATAAACAAGATCAACAAATATTTTGGAGCGCACTTCCACAAGCTACTAAACATATATATGATAAATAAAAATAAAGTAGACTAAAATAAATTAGATCAAATATGTTCTAGTGCACTGTCACAACCTAGCAAAGCTAAATAATCGTTTTTTTCGATTATGTTGTTTTCGTAACTGTGGCAGGCCAAAATCGTAATTGCGATTTAATATGTGATTAATTGCACAGCCCTAATAGGGCCTCTTTAAAAGATGTTCTGATTCTGCTCAAATGTTCCTTTTGGTTGCCTTTACTGCACAGTCTTGTCAGTAGTATCCCATATGAGACATGTTCTCTATTTGATGTACTTTCTAAAGTCCCATGATGCTTCTGTGTGGTAGTGTCTTAGTGTCATGATTATAAGTAGATATTCTGAGATGTTTAACCAAATTAATTCACAGCCCCGCACACTGCCTAACCTTTGTGTGTTTTGGAAAGCTTCATTATTCCCTAGGATATGGGCGGTGGTACTGCAGTTCACATCTTTATGCCTTCCTTATAATTGAAATAAATGAGTAATTTAGTTGTTGTTATTCCTTGTGGGATCTTGCATATTTTAACTCGTTGGTATACTGTGTCAGAAGGTTCAGCAGGCGTGGGTTGTATTGAAAGATAAGAACACTTGTCTGTTGGCTGCAGAAGCATCCAACCACTTCTTGTCCACTTTTTCTTCACTTTGTCGCCCTTGGAAAAGAAAATCAACGAGTTTTTATTTGTATTTATGTCCTTGAATTAACAAATGTGTTTATTTCAGCCTCTGTGCTGGCATTTCACAATCATATTGAATTTGTCGGCAGACAGGAGGAGGAGATGTGTGCGAAGCTTCTCTGTGTGGCCTGTGTTCATCACTTTGGATGCTGTTGCTTTGAGGTTATACCTTGAGGCAAATGTGTTGTGAGAGCAACTCACTGCTGATAATGCAATACAATAATTTATCTTTTATTGGAATAATATCCAAATAAAAGTGTAGATTTACACATTTTAATACAGAATGATGTCATCTACATTGGTGTTAAATGAAGCACGTACTACTCCAAGAAAAGTTAATGCAAAGTATTTTGAGGAAATATCCTTTTTGGATTGTTTCTACAAAACCAATACTTGAAATATAAACTTCACTTGTTATCCTTATTTTCAGTGGAAGCTGATATGTAAATGATGCATTGATGTTCTTAATAACATGATAAATAATGCAGTCATCTTCATTTATCAGATTGGACACAGGTGTTTACAAAAAGAGGCTTACCATGCAGGTATTTCCTGTAGTCTGTGTTTTAATTGAACTCTATATCGTGGTCTATATGGCAATGGGAGATATGACATAACCTTGATCAGGATAGTAGATTGTGGCAGTATCACCAGCCATAGTTTGAACCTCATTGAACTTGGATCCATTTAGATATTGACCTTACTTCATCCCTGACTTGACCAAGAACCTGAAATAACTTTTTTTGGCAACCAGGGGACAACGGGAACAAGTTGAAATAAAAAAACTGAAATAATCTCCTTTTTTTTTATAATTTATTGACCAACTTGTTATGAACCCATTGCTTATTCAGCACTATAGACCCCATTTGTACATGTAGATCAAATATTAACTAACTTTATCTAAATTTTTTGCTTTTACCATCTCCCGGAGGACATATCTGGCTCGAGAGCTGCTTTATGCTCCACTTTGTTCACCAGCTAGTCACTAATTTTGTCTCTCTGCTGTTAAGTACGGTGGTTTTTAGAGCTGTTTTGCAGAAAACAGCTAAAAGTTATGTCTGGAAACTATGAGATTTGTGAACTTGCAAAGAGAATAACAGTAAAGTTGCTTTAAAGCGAGCTAAACAATGAAGTGAAACTCAATTCTAAAGGTCCATAAAGCCAAATGGAGCAGCAGATTTGGTATACCTGATACATTAATATAGACACCCATTAAAGCCGCTTTTAAACAGGGAGAAATAATCGACTCTAAATAGGTTATTGGTTGTTTACATTATGTTAATCATAAGTAAACAAAAGTTAATATTTATACCGTAAATTATGTAAACAGTGCAGCTCAGAAACCTAAGAAGAACCTTATCGACTTTAAACATGCCATTTAGATGGACCACAAAGATCTGCACATGTTTTTAGTACAAAGGCTTTAGTGCTGTGACCTTTTTGTTTGGGATAGATGTGTTGGTGTTGATCAACTCATGCTGAGCTGTTGTTTGTTGGTTTACAATCCTTTTGATTCACGCAATGGGGAAGTAACCATCAGTCATTGCCCTTTAAAGAAGCAGGCGCCCTGGTTTAAAGAATGATTTGAACATATTGCAAATCTACGGTTTTAATAACAAGGGGCTCAGTGAGGAATCATTCTGGTGTTTCAGGGTGAGGAGCAGAGCTGCTGCTGCCCTTTTAAAAGAGAGCAGAGAAGGACTAATCCTGAAATAGCTGGGTGGAAGCAAACCTGACCGTGTTGACACAGGGATCAACAACCCTAAGCCCCTCCGAGATCCCCCCTTGTTAGAGTAAGGTGCATGACTAGACTTATGGAACAGCGTTTTAATGAAACAAATTAATGAAAAAATAAACCTGATATGTAGCACATAAAATAACAATGCTGGATTTACCCAGCACACAGTTTTTATAACATTCAACATGTATTCTGTAGGAGCCTGTGTATCATGGGTTGAATGAGCTAATCCTTTTCTCTTCGTAGTAGAATCCAAATATTGTGAGGAGCAGCTAAACATATATTGTGTTGTAGTTATTTATTACAGCATCCTAAAAAACAAAACTCTTGCAATTGTGAAGAGTTTATTCCAACAGCATTTTGTAACTTCAAACTAAGTAAAGCATGAACCCACTAGGGTCAATATATTCTTGGCAGCTTTGATTTAATTCTCGTTTCTACTCTCTTTAATAGCCACACCCACAATTCAGTTGGGAGCTCGTCTTTGTAAAGGTCTCACATACTGAGCACTCGGGCATGGTATCTACCTCGGAGAATTACTCTAATTATATTTAACGACAGTGGGTCAGCATTGAGATTCATACCCCTCACAAAATCCCATCATTCACCGGACTCTCCCTTGCTGTTAAATACAACTCGTTTGAAACACCAGCAGCATTTTAGCTTGCCTTCATTTCACGTGCTGGAATCGTGTCAAGGTCACAACGTGTCCTTGAGGATCCATTTTCTATATGGGGTAGGAGCGTGGGCCTAATGCTGCTGTTTGAGTAACGTTATGTAATGAGCTTCCTCTGCTCCCCGTGGACATAATGTCATTACTGAAATACATTACCTGGATCCCCCCCCTCCCTCCCCCTCCCCCACCTCTCTCCTCTCCCCTCAGCCGTGTGCTTCCCAGAAAAGCCCATTAGAAATTGATTACTGGACACTTTTCTATGAGGACACCACTGCTGACCACCTTGTGCTACTTCTTTAAATATTAAAGTGTACAGTGAAGGCAGGATCATTCCCATGACTGCATGGTCGAAGACAGGGGTGTCCACACTACGGCCCGGGGCCCAAATGCTGCCCGTGGACCATTTTGAATCGGCCCTCAGCAAATAAAAAATGTAGAATAGAATATGGCCCACAAATAAAACTTGTGTTTGTCTTATGTTGTACTTCTTAAATATATATGTAAAAATATATTACACACTAGTATTCATGTGTTAATAAGAACACTTTTCACATAAATTCAGTCAATTCAAGTTGGAATTGATAAGAAAAAAGCCCAATGACTTATTTACATAACAAGCTTGAAATCTACCCTTCCTATTTCTCCTTATTATAATCAATCTGAGGCTTCTTTTTTAAGGGATGAGCTGTCAACACTCACAAGCCTCATTGACCTACATTTGATTGATTTTGCTAACTTAGAACTGAACTTATGAGGCAATATACCTCACCTCTAGTGAGTGCAGTGGCGGCGCCAGGGTATGGCTGGGGTAGGCTACAGCCATACCAAGAAATGGCTTAGCCCCACCTTAGCCCCACCATGAAAAATTGTGTTAAAGTAAGCTAATTCAATTAAGTAATAAGCAAAATGCTAAATGTTGAGAACACGGCTTGCAAAAATATACGGGTCGTGTCCACAACACACCAACTGATCCTGCTGTTACAACAAGTGCACGTTACTGATGCAATATGGTTGAGACCATTCGGGCTTATGCTATAAGAGGGGTGCAAGGAATAGTCTAAGTAGTGGGGGAGTTTTATACACTAAAGGTGTGTAAATTCTCTGGCGTTATAATATCAGCGCGGCCACGGTCAGATCAAAATGCTTCAGAATGGAATTTGAATAGAGTCAGACCTACAGCCTATCAGAGCAACGAAACGTTGGGTCTGCGTCATGCATTACTGAAGAGATCTATCGGAACCGCCATTCAGTATCCCTATTGGATCTTCAACGTGTATTATCATACGTCACGTTCACAGTGATCCCTTTTTTTTACTATAACACAAATGTGCCATTTTATTTCATACAGTTCCATTTAGATTGAGACTGAAATAATCTAAACCTCACGCGTGGCGTTTCACTGTCAAGGGGGGCGATATAGCGTGTATGTAATTACATTGCAAATACTGACTTGAGCCCCACCACTGTATGGGTTAGCCCTACCATAGATTATCCAACAAAAATACTCTGGCGCCGCCACTGAGTGAGTGGCCCAGCCCCTTCGTATATTTTTCTGTATGTGGCCCTCGGTGAAAAAAGTTTGGACACCCCACACTGTAATACCTGGTTGCAGTGTTGTAAATACATTTAATCTAGTACAAATGTGAGGTACTTTTAATTTTGTGTTTCCATTGTATGATAATTCATAATTCTAATCCTCTACAATTTTGAAGAAAGTATTGCGCTTTTTACTTCATAGGTTACTAGCTACTTACAGATTAATTTTATTGATGAAAAAATATAAAGCAACTAATGCATTATCACATATAATTGTAGATTATTTTACAAAAATAAATTGAATTCAATAAAGTTACTGTAGCTCCACCTTTACCAGCTGCAACATTAAAATAATGTTCACTATAATGGATCAATAATTATATTATGTAACAGAATACGTATACATTATAACAACATTTGCCATTCTGCATAATGAGAACTTTTAGTTTTGGTATTTTGATATATCTTTGGGGCGGTGTAGGGGCATGGGGAACCGAAGGGTCTCCAGTTCGAGGCCAAATCGGACCAAAAGTACAGAGTTGGACTGGTATTCAGAGTGGTGCCAGTTCACCTCCTGGGCACTGCTGAGGTGTCCTTGAGCAAGGCACCAACCCCCAAACTGCTCCCCAGCACCAGAACAGCACCCTTTGTATTGGTCCTGTTGTGCATGTGTGTGTACTGTATCTGGGCCTATGTGTGTAATTGCTAAATAAGTCAAAAACAGAATTCCTCCTGTGGGATCTTCAGCTTGTACATAGTTCTTATATAATATTAAAGTATTGATGCTAATACTTTTGTATTTTACTCATACATAAAAAACAGAATGTAGTTTTACTTACAATATTGTGGTATTTGTACTTTTACCTTTTTAAATGATCTGATTACCTTTTTCTAAGGTATGAAAATAGCTTGAGTATGCAGCAACCACAGTAATTACCTCATTATGTCATGTAGTTCACAATTACTGACCTATAAAAATGTAGCTCTTGCAAAGATCGGCCTGCTGGTTTACTCCACTACTTAACCACTCTTACTCACAGCATTGAGAGCCTGGAGGAAAGGTGACTCGTGGAGGAAAGCTGTGATGCTGTAGGGGGTGATTACCTGCCACAGGGCTTCCTCAGGCTGGGGTGGTAATATGTTAGCAGCCCTGGCGCCATGACATTAACAGGGCAGCCACCGCTGTAGTCCTCCTTAGCCCAGTCCTGTACAGCAGAAAAGTTCAATGACGTTAACATTGGACCATTTTTACATCACATGTCACTTGTTAGACGCTTTTATCCAAAGCGACTTACATACTCAATACTGTGGGCAATCCCCACAGGAGCAATTTGGGGTGTAGTGTCTCAGGGACACAACGGCATGCTGACTGCAGTGCGGTTTGAACCTGTGACCCCCTGACCCGAACACCAACGCACAACCCACTGCACCACACGCCTCCCCATTTCACAACACGGCACAAAGGCATGGCTTGTTGAAACACACTCTTCAAATCTAGTTTGTTATTATAAGATAGCACAGCTCATGAAAACACACCATATTCCAGAGCCTCTGTTAGACACGACTGACATCTGTCCCCCTCCCAACGCCTTTTGATTCGTTATCTTTAGTAAGATGCCAGTACAATTATATAGTGTGTAAAATAGCCATTATTGTATTTCATCAATACTTCTGATTTATCATTTTGGACATTTCAGAGGTTGTTAATTCTCACTATCAAACCAATACATCAACGGACAGAAAGAAATCTGGTAAATGTATCTTTAGCTGTGGACAACAAACATCCCCGTGTCTCTGCACATTATCCCATACATGTATTTGTCCAAGTTGATTCTAAAACTGTAGAACATAGAGATACACACGAGTGGAATGAAGCCTTTTATCTGCCGGACAAGTTGTTAGGGGAATATATGCTAAACCCAGAGCAGCGGCTTGTCACTGCAATGACAAAAGTGGGTACACCTTAAAGGTCAGACAATGGTAAAGTCACTCTGTGGACCTTAACATGGTTATGAAACTGTAATGATGATGCCTCTGTATGACCTACATAAGGAATGTAGACATCAGTGAGGAAAGTGGCTATTTCTGAATTTGCTTATTTGGTTGAATACGCCAAAAACTCCTTCGGCTCAGATTCCAACCTGCTGCTTGGATTCGACCCTAATTCATTATTACTGTACTAGTTGGAGAAATCAATTGGCAGCTTCTTTATGTAAGGCAAGGCAAGTTTATTTATACAGCACCTTTCAACATAAGGCAATTCAAAGTGCAAGACATTAACAGCATTAAGAAACATATTATAAAATGGCATTTAAAAACACTACTTTAAAAGCAAAACTATTCCTCTTTTTTATAAATGCACATTAGTTAAGTCGACCTTGTCAGCCAATATAATGTATGCTAAAGTAATGTCGGAGAACATTGCATGCCCCAGAGTACCAAATCAAATGCATCCAGTCTAATTTTACAGTCTCACACGGTTTAGTTGGCAGCACAACACACACCGGCTGCGAATATAACGTTTACAGCAACTGCAGTACACCCGATGTTGCTCTGAGAAACCCAGAGCTCCTCGTATGGAAATAACTACAGCATGATACACAACATGAATTAAAATGATGTTTGTGACTTCTCAGATATGTACTTTATTATAAATAGTTGAAACTGTACAAACATAATTAGTATGAAATATTAAAACACTCACTTTGAATAACGTTAAATCAGGCCACTTGTGTCCCTCAACACTATACTGTCAATTCTACAGGGGCTTTTTTTTCTCTTCGCAAAGCTCTGAGTGGTTCTTATTGTATTCTTCATATGAAAGTTCCTGTTGAATCTCTACTAAGTGGAATCGTGATGTCTCCCTTAACATCCATGCCTATAATTTCCTCAGGGCAATTTGCCTTTCAGCGATGAAGTGTCCGGGGACTGAAATCATATGTCTGTATGACTAGTGTGCTGTTTCACAATCTACCAATGTGTGCTCGGCATCGTTTAATGGGTCAAAGTAGCACTTCTGTATTCAGTGTGTGTGTGGCGCATCATGAATATATATGTTATTTTCACACAAGTTCTGCTTCTCTATCGCAGATTTGCCACGCCAACTTTCTAGTCTTTTGGTATTCTATTTGTTTTATTATTTGGCATAAACGGTTTAATGAGCCTCCACTTTTGAGGGGTTGCTGTGCTACTAGAAGGAAAGTAGATCTATTGTTTGTTTCCCACACTGTGCTCTATGGCTTTGCTTTCACAACCGTCGTAGGACACAAATTGCCTTCTGTTTTCTCCCTGAGCAATTCCCAAATATACGATTTTTAAACCCATGCTACCTTACTATCAAAACTATTTAGTATGGCGACTTTTATAATCTGGTGTACCCAGTTGTGGTAATAACCATTTTTGACATTTCAATGGAGCCTTTTTTCGTGGATCTTGTAGATGAAGGTGGATTAAAGCTTGCATTGCGGCATTTGACTCGTCTCTTGCGTTTCTGGGTCCAAAGTGACCGAATGACTTTTGTTTTAATCATAAATATTGTGTTTTTCATCCAATTGTCTCAATACCTTATGTTATCCCCCACACTAGGCCTCCAAACATATACACTTGATGATCACCACTCGCATTGCATTTTGAGTGATTTATTCAACAGTGAAACACCCATGATGTTTTCGGTCAGAATTGATGGAAAACATCTACACACACACACACACACACACACACACACACACACACACACACACACACACACACACACGTTCTGTTATGGGTATATTTCTCTTTCAATAAATGTTCATTGAGGAAAACAGTATCAGTGTCTTATTTTATATTCATCACAGTGAGTGCTGAACTTGATGGACCTAACGCAAGGGAAGGGTTAAAAATGAGAAGCAATAGTTTTGTGATTAACTCAGGTCTTTGCTAGGGGTGCTACCAATATCTCGGTATCAAGACTATGCCAACATTTGGTGATGGTACTTTACGTTATAGTACATTATAATGCATTAAATCTCCATCTGGTAATAATTAGTACTTGGCAAAGATAAATAACGTTGAATGTAAAGTGAATTATTTTAAGTGTTGGATGAGAAAATTGAATAAATACAGTTGTTTGAAGGGTTAATTTTATACTGCAATATAATATGGATATTATAAAGGAATTATGACCCTATGAATTATTCAACTTCCTAATGCTGGCTCTCAGTAGCTTTCAATACATAATTAAAGTTGGGTTTATTTTTGTTTTTGGTTCGCTACGTATACATACACACATACATACATACACTTAAGGTCTATAAATACTCGGACAGGTTTTCAATCTTTTGCTACACAAAATAGCTTTCCCATTTTAAGAATGCAGCAAGTCGTGAATTACAATTCTGCCTGAAACTTAGATAGAATTATACTTTTTTTATGTTGGACATCTCTCACTGAACTACTTCCTTTCTCTTTATAGTGGAAGAAAAATGTGGCTTCTGTATTCGACAAGACTGGAAAGCACCTAATATATTGCAAAATGAATGTTGCTTGTAAAACTTAGTTCTTGGCGGGACACTTAAAGAAATACAGTTGTTTTGGAGGATTTTTTTTCACAACAATATAAAATGAAGGATTCATTTTTACAACAATATAACATGGATATGAGGGAGGGAATTATGACCATATGAATGATTTAACTGCCTAACACTGGCTCTAAGCTGCTTCTAATACAGAATAAAAAAAGTATATTTTCTCATTTACTTTTTTTTTTCTTCCCAACTTATTTGCCAAGTAGGCTATAGATAAAACGACACTATTGAGCTATAAATACTCAAACAAACAAAATAGCCAAAATGTCCCAGCCGTCTGGAATGCAGGAAAGAAATGACAATTACGTCATCTGTCACTTACTTTCTCTTCGTAGTGGATGAAAGACCTGGCCTCAGGTCCCAGGTATTTGACCAGGCTGGAAAGCACGGCTTCTCTCCTCTCGCCACGCTGCAAACAGAAGGACATGCACGTGCATTTACACTCATCACTGTAACAGCAGGCTGTGAAAAATATGAATGCATATTTAAGAAAGTAATCCAGCTGGACAAAGCAAGCAGCAGTCCATTTGAATAACTCAGGCACTGTCAGCACATGCTCCTGGTCGGATTAGTTCACATTGTGAGTTATGTACACAGCAGCTGAGAGTCCTGAGGATCAAAGGGACGGATCACCATGAAACATGCTGACAGATGTTGCAAAACTGTCTCGCATTCCTCATCTGCATGTCACTTTACCTTTGCTCTCAGCATACCCTTGAACAATAATTCATAGCTCAAACTCTCATAATGCACTCTCTGCAGAAGAACAGACAGTGAAATCAAGCATGGAGCCAAGTTGCTTCCAATTAGAAATGTATAAATAAAGAACTAAATGTTGTTTTGCTTCAGCACTGTTTTGCCATCTGCTTACCCTTAGAAATTACTTTTGAGAAGAGGCTCTTTAATAAGTGGCTGCACCTGTGCAAATCAAAACGTCAAACCTAACCATAAGACACCTATGAAAGCCAAATGAGGGAAACAAATCATAATTACAATGAAATACAGCTAGATCTTAACTATAAAGCTAAATCCTTGTATAACTGACACATTGATGTCCATTTGGCTCACACAAATGGACACTATAAACCTTTATTTAGCAGTGACGCAACAAGCAGAGGTTAATTATTTAGCACTCTGTGCAGTGTGGAACAGCAGGGCGATGACTACCCTTGAGCTATGTGGCATGTCTAATGACTGAAAGACCAAAACAACAGCAGCCGAGATATCTTTCCGGGTAGGGGAAAGTACTGAAGCCAAGTTAAAATGTCAACACTGAAAGAAAGGAAGGAGCATGTGAAGATTTGGGCGAAAAGTGCAAAAAGTGTGTTTTGTTTACTGAATTAGAAGCAGATTATGTGAAATGTGACCTTTATGAGTTGCATCAATATGTTTGCGTTGTATATATTATTTACCCATCTAATGTTCTCCTCAGTCTAGAATAGATGCTCTGCTGTTTTTGCATAACATTTTCATTTTTTTTTTACATAATTTTAGAAAATGCACATTATGTTTCCTTTTTTCCACACAACAGGTTAACCAGGCTTAACCCTTAACATGCATGAACAAGGATTTAAGCTATATTTGATGGTAGAGATCGAGATGCAAAAATAAGTAGATCTTTGTGTTCAAATATAAATGTAGAGTTCATTTAAATGTGAACACATAGATGTACCATACAATGTATGTGTAATAAATCTACCAGACATTAGATAGTTACGTTTTGAAAACCATAATTTTTCACCAAGGATTAAGGAAAACATGCATTTGAATTTTTTTATTTACAGAAGGCCCAATTACACAATGTCATTGGAGATTGATGATTAGCATTAATATATGATAACATTAAAAGCTACAGGGGATCGATTTCCTTTCATTCTAAAGTTGGACGAGCACTAAATCTGAGACTTTTCTTGGCTTGTCAATGTTTTTATATTTGAATGCAGCTTCTACAATTAGCCTGACTTGTGAAATTACAACAGTTTAGTTTGACGATTGAGCATCACAATCGAGTCCCATTGATTCAGAATTACTTTAGTAGTCCCACAGTGGGGACATTTACAACGTTACAGCAAAAGTGGCACAGTAGGTAAAAGAAGGCTTCGTAATAATAATTTTTAAAAAGCAGACATTAGTAATAAGACAAATAAGTACACAACCATGGCTAAGAGAGATTTGTAGTAGCAATTCAACTTAGTGATAAGCAATTACGCTCTCCTTCCTCTCAGTGGAAGGCCTGAAGCAACATTACTTTTCTTTCACTTCCCTTTTTTCTGAGTAAAAGAAAACCCAATTATGGATCCTTTTTGTTGTTTAACGTGAAATACACTACACAGCAGCTTTAGATATGAAGAAACGATATTCTTCCCCTTGGAGGCGATCCTTAGTTTTCTCCTGAAAGTGAGCAGCGTCTTCATCGTGTGTGACATAACCCATAATCCTAGCCTTCCTGCCTTTAATTTTGTGCGACCAGTTTCTATCTTTTATCGACTTAAATATAAGAACACCAATAATCGAAAAAAACCTATTATTCCTAATTTCTGTGGGATGGATTAACATGAGATTTATAATGAATCACAATGGGAATTCAAACCAATGGCACAGCTGTGATTAGAAATGTTGTTTACATTATAGATAAATACTAATGAGAGTATACTAATGAGTGTATCTGCTTGCCACATTGATAAGACATTACCTCCTTGGAGCTCCATTGTGAAGCCTGCTGGCCGGCAATGAAGCCCACCAAGGCAGCATTACCGCTGGGGCTGGTGGCGTCAAAAGTGACACAGAATGGGCACTCGGTGGAGGATCCTGCCACTATTTCCCCTGAGAAGCCTTTCTCCCTCCAAAAAGCCTGTAAAGAAAAAGCGGAAGTTCACACCATCAACCTTTATCAACAATAGCAGCAGCACATAACCCAATCCGAAAAAATACTTGCACATAAGCCATGTGCCATGTCTTTCAGTGCTGACTGGAGTGATTGAACAGCTGTATAGAAAGCTAAATGGAGCCACTCAAGTACAACATTCAACAGCTTTCACAACAGGACCCATTACCTATACCTGCAAAACACATTTCACTCAATTGATATGCTCGCTATGACATGGGCAAAGCCGCCTGAATACTGTAGGCCTACATTGTACAGTATTCAAAAGACTCTGTCTTGACATTGACCTTTATTATACATACAAATGTGAGTGCAAAGCTATCTGCCAGCTAACCAATCAGAGCAGACTGGGCTCTGGTTTCAGACAGTGTGAAAAGAGGTGCTGCAGACAAGAAAATATGAGAAAAATAAAGACCTTTTTGAATATCAAAGCATGAAAACATACAATTATGAGCCTAAAAATAGCTTTGTCAATTACACAATTCACTTTTCGGTGTTACATTTTATTACCCGGCTCAGTTGTAGATGGGTCCATTCACCATTATAACTGAATATAAACCCCCAATGCTTGTACCTAAACAGTGAGTGTGAAGGAGCATCCTACAAACTGAACTCTGTGCAGTCTATTGGCCCTATCATTGATATGCAGTCAGTTCATATGCAACAGAGGCAGTACTGAACGCTGTGCACCGTGTTGAAGAAAAAAGAAACAAAGTCACAGCATCAGATTGTTCTGTGTGAGGCAAGGATGCCATTTACAAAATAAACTGTGTACTACTCATCTAAGCTACCGTATACAAAACAGAAAGTATAAAAACAGAAGTATGTATATTCTCGTATGAGTTGTTTATGAAAGGCAACAATCATGTATACTAAGTGTTTTGTATTTTCTTGGCATAGTTTATAAGAATACATTTAATGTGGGCAGAATTTCAGATGTCATTCTTAAATGTTGAGACAATACTGTACTTCCTAGGTTATATAATATATAACACATGTCTCAATCTTTATTTAGTATTTAGCTCTCTTGCACGCTGTTAGTAACCTGCTGGCAACCTTTTTGCCTACCGTAACATGTCACTGTAAAGAACGTTAAACTAAGGCAGGTAGACTTCCACATTTCTTATTCATACATGCATTCTTTTCGTGCTTGGCTGTTACAATACAAAGAGAATTACAATGACAACCTTTGTTTCACTCCTCCTAACCTGTGTGTTTCTTTTGAGTTCATTGTGAGTATGAAACTTCTGATTGTTACATTGTTTTTATTTTAAAGGGGCCCTATTACATATTCTCGTCCTCCACTGTGACATGTTTATTTTTCTCATACTGCCTGTGCTGCAGAGCCTCTTTTCACCTTCTGTCGGAAATGAGATCCCAGTCTGCTCTGATTGGTTAGCTGGCCAGCCCTGTTGCGATTGGTCAACCGCTTACAGATGTCCCGCCCCTTTTAAAATCTACTGACTCTTCATTCATCTTGTTTACTCATTAGTTAGAAGACGAGGCTGAAAACAAATGTGAATTTCAGTTGCACTATGCTTGCACTTTCCAAAGTAGGGCTTTTAAAATAATGAAGGCACAACATTTTTGCAATATCATTGTATTCCATAATGAAAAAAACTGGCAAACACACTCTACATCAAAACTAACACTGCATCCTTTTTATTTCATTCAAGCTATTTCTTTAAAGCCACACCAATCCACTCTCTGTACAGCACATCAGTCCTAAGAGCTCAGAGAGGATAATTTGAGTAATCAACAAGCTTGAAATATGAGCCACATTTCCAGCCTTCTATACACCTCAAGAAGGAGGGGGAGAGGCACTTTCTTGCAGAACAGGTGCACATCATTCTGGACTTCTTGCTGTGTTTTCCCGCCTTTCTGTGAGTGTTAACAATAGGTGTATACCCCGCCCTGATTCGGTCTACCTGCATCCTGCTGCCCTTGTGTTTTGTACCCAACCCTTTTCAGCTGTGACTTGTCAATGTGAGTAGTCCTGTGGGTCTTGTTTAGTTTTGCTACTTTGCCTTTGAGATGTACTACCTTCATATTTGACCACCATTGGCTTTACTAAAAACGAACCCTATTATGCTTTTTGGAGTTGTTTCATTCCTGTGGTGTGTTAAATAGCCTTGTTGCTCATGCAAATGATCTGCAAAGTGCAAAGGCTAAATTCCAAAAGTTCACATCACATAGTGGCATCACTGTAAAACACTAGCGCTCCGACACATTGTACATGATTTGCTAAGGAGCAGACTGGGCTCTGGTTTCAGACAGAGGGTGACAAGAGGTGCTGCAGTATGAGGAGAATAACAGTAGAGGCTCTTTTAATTAAAGCTCACTTAAGTAATATATACCTGCCTCCCTTTTTGTGTCTTAGTTTTGAGTCCTACTGCCTTCCTCACCCGTTACAGTGTTGGATAGTAGTCTCTTCTGTCCGAACGACCTCCCTCAGCTGTATTTGCAGCATGTTGTTGAAGAAGGCATGGACAATACACCTGCTGCCATCTTTAGCCTAACCTAATGGCTTTGCAGTCACACCATGCACACACAGGCTGCTTCAGGATATTCAATTTGCTGATGTTGGGTCTTTTACATCCGCAAGCTCCATATGATTCTGAGATACAGCTGCTGTAGGCGTCAGCCCTGACAAATTACCGAACATTGGGGAGCGTTGGCAGAGGTAAATTAAGTGACAGATGTGATGCCCACCCTGAGGCCGCCTTCAAGGACTTGCATCCTGTGAGGGACAAGCTGTGTGCTTCTGGGATTGGCCTCCACCGTGGAGAAGATAATCCAAGGCAGGAATGCAGACGCGACTTTTTAGGCTGAAAATGTAAATTCCTTGGGATTGCACAAGCGATGTGGCTAGCGTTCTGCTCACTCAGCTCACTGTTCACTTGTATTATATCTCCTTCTAGAGAGGTGCCTGCCGCCATCTGCTATCAAAGTGTTTCAGGGATTTCCCGTGGTCATGGGTTTTTAGCGAGAGGTTGGTTTTTAGCCGCTCTCCTCTTACAGGGAGTGAGAGAGCCATGTCCTGCGCTCACTCTTCCTTTTGTGGGCATTGCTGTTGGTTCATGATATCCTTTCAACAGAAGCTTTGTTTATGCATTATGCATATACCTCTCAAGCTGTTTCCAATCTAAACAAAGAGGCTGCTAGCTTTAATCTCAGCTAAAAGGATGAGCCAATTGCATGCCATTTCAACTATAGTAGGGACTAAGTGATATAACGCTCGGAGCTTCATTTCAAAGAGTTTATTTTCTACATGATGTCATAGTCTTAATTAAAGAAGAGGCCATTCAAATCTGGATTCATCTCATTGAAGGACATTTGAGACACCTGCAACCCCAACATATTGTGATGAACAAACATAGAAATAGGAGATAGTTATGCCCCTCACGGAAATGTTATTTCAAATGAAAGTTTTGTTAGTGTTTGGTGGAGAGCAAATAAGAGCCTGGGAGATTCTAAAAATTTTAAACCTTTTATCACTGGATGATGGTTTGTCTGGTTCAAATTCTGACTTTAAGTGGGGGATCAATCTTAGACATTTGAATTTTTTTCTTATAGCCTTTACAAATAACAAAACGGATAAGGTGCTAATTAATAACCAAAATGCTCAGAACATAAATGTATAAACAGACACATCACGTCATCCCATTTTGCTTTCTCATTATCGCCACAAGTTATATAAATAATTTGTTTCCTGTAGAAACTGAGTCTCCACACAAAGGTATTTGGCCTGTTCTTCCATGTGAGACCTGCTTCCAGTCAATACAATTCACCTTTTTTTCAGATCCTGAAAGTACACCCTAAAGCCCCTGTCACACTGTCCCGAAATTGACTCCCGATGGCCTCACGAAGGGCAAAATGGACACACGAAGTCAACACGAAAATGAACCTTCGCAAGGTCCTTCGGCAACATCTTTGGCATGCCAAAGATTTTGCCACCGCTCCCGAAGTTGCTGCCGAAGCCTGAGAAATTCCACCGGCGGTCATGCGATGGCTTAAGATGCCCTCACGAATGCCTCACGAAGGGCAAAATGGACACACCAAGTCAACACGAAAATGAACATTCGCAAGGTCCTTCGGCAATGCTTTGCCATGCCAAAGATGTTGCCACCGCTCCCAAAGTTGCTGCCGGAGCCTGAGAAACTCCACCGCTGGTCATACGAATCGTATTTGGGTCTGTATAAGTACATCTATAACGATCAATTAACCTGGTTTGTGTAGACATTTGTGGTGTTATTCTGCTTTCGATTGTCTATCAGTTGTTTTTTTTTCATAAAACTTGGCTTTTCCTCGTCGATACATTTCTTTATCGTGAAGTCTTGACACTCACGTGTCGTACTAGAGATACTCTTCCGGATGTTGACGTGAATTTCTACATATCAAAAATAAGTATCTCTCATACGTGTAAGTTCACAAAATTTGTGTCGCTATGTATTTTGTATTTACGTAACAAGTTGTTTTTCGTAGAAATTATCTTGAGTCTCCTTTTGTCGTTCCTCGAAATATTCTCAGTATGTAGCGACTATGAATTGTTAGGTCCTACACTTTCTTAGGAAAGGTAGCACTCTATAGGGTCGGTTTAGTGTTTCGTTAATATACTATATATTGGCTTATTTCACATATTATTAATATTCTTACACTATCTTTAAAATCGGAGTCGTTACGAAAAATCACGCAACATCCGTAGAGTAAACTACCCGTTTTTGAAAAAATCGATGTACCGTAGAATTCCTACTCTTTTTTTCCGTCCGGGTTAGGGAGAAGTTGAGTGTGTCAAGCTGGTATTTGTAACTGCCTTCCCGACTAAAACTATGTAAACTATAATTGTTACCTAGTTCAGGGATGGTTGTTTTCCATATGAGTGTATGTGATAGACGGGAAGTCGCTATTTAACATTCATAGTCATAAGACCCATTTTCCTCCGCGAACCAAAGCTTCGATGAACTTTTCCCAATAATCTCGTCTTTGTCTAGTGAGACTAGTCCGCCTCTGTACAGTATTGATCCGGTTCAGGAATTTCGGGTACGCAGTCGTCGACAGCGTCTTTACTGTGCGCTACCTGTGTGCTTAATTTTTATACCTTTACAGAGTTAAGCCGAGACTAGCATTCGCGATAGTAGTGCCCGGTAAGCATTCTCCCTTACGAATTCGGTAACGTACT